AGGTTCAAACACATGTTTAGCATGCAGCGTACGTCAGGCTAACAGGAGCGTTGTGTGTCCTGTGTCCAGGCATCACCACGGTGCTGACCATGTCCACAATCATCACCGGAGTGAATGCATCCATGCCCCGAGTGTCCTACATCAAGGCCGTAGACATTTACCTCTGGGTTAGCTTCGTCTTTGTCTTCTTGTCTGTTTTGGAATACGCGGCTGTCAACTACCTGTCCACCGTCCAGGACCGGCGGGAGCGCAAGATGAGAGAGAGGGCACGATCTCAGGTTGGATTCTACCGCATGTTGTTTGGTGCTCTGAGCCAAAACCCAAACCTCCATCCACCCATCCATCCATCCATCATCTCTACACCTTAACCCCCACTGGGGGGCGGAGCCTATCCCAGCTGGGTGAAGGCAGGTTCACCTGGACAGGTAACCAGTCTATCACAGGGCTACACTTAGAGACAGACAACCAAGCACACTCACATTCACACCTACGGACAATTTACAATCACCAATTAACCTCAGCATGTTTCTGGACTGTGGGAGGAAGCCGGAGAACCCGGAGAGAACCCACGCTGCACGGGGAGAACATGGAGACTCCACGCAGGAAGATCCCGGGTGTCAGCTGGTAGAACACAGATTAGAAAGTTAATTATTCTGCTGGTGTTTATTACAGAGAATGTTCAGTCACATTGATTTGCCCCAAACTAGTGATTTCCTGCATTATGGGACGGATTCAGACTAAAATGCATTTCAATATGTTTAAATATATGAAGTTTAAAAGCTCCAGTTGTCAGAAATAAGCAGCGCATCAGTCAGTCAAACAAACACATGAACACACGTTTAAAGTTGATCAAAGCAGCAGTCTTTACATCGAAGCTATTTTAGGACATAAAGGGATCATTTCATGAAAACAAAGATAAGATAAGATAAGAAAAGACAAGACAAGATAAGATAAGATCAGATCAGCCTTTATTTATCTCACAGTGGAGAAATTCACATTGTTGATAGCAGCATTAAACAGAGACACATTTATACGAGACAGAAAAAAAAATGTACATATAAATATAAGAAATAGTGCAAACTAACTAACTTAGATAAATGTCATTGTGATGAACAGATATTAGTGGTTTAGTTAATGCCAGGACAGAACAGAACTAGAACTTTGGCTGACTGGACAATGATCCCGTCCTGTTTCCTGTTCTGCTTGGTTCTGTTTTGGTTTCTTTAGTTTTCTGGTCAGACAGCAAACCATCTCACTCCATCATCAGCTCCATGCATCCTGCTGTGATCCTCCTCATCCCCTGTGTTCTCCTGTGTAGATGCTCAGCCTTCAGTTTGCTGTCAGACTCCCACCTCCAGCGCCCCCTGCTGCCCGTAAAGGCTTTTACTCAATAAATGCATCTTCTGTCACAACTGCTCTGCATTTGGGTTCAAAACCAAAACACAACCGATCCCAAACATCCCGCAACAATCACACAGGAGTTTTTAAAGAAGAGAAAAAGGTGTGTCCCCTGACTTTCATCAAACAGGACGTTTACTTTGTAGAAGAGAGCCGCTGGAATCAGTCCTGTGAAAACCTCCTTGCACAGATTTTTGAAGGCAGGTGTCCTTCATACCGTTCATGCCCTGCAGGATGAATCCTATGATGTTTTTCAGCTGGTTCCTAAATATAGTTTAACTCGTCAAACAACATTTCTAATTAAGCAGCTTTATTTTTCTTTGGCTCAGCTCAACAGTAAACATCCTGACATGGACAGATCTGGTGATCATTCAGCAGGACTGGCTGTACCAGATTTGTTGTTACTGAAGCAGTGGTTTTAAAGACTCAGTGCCAAAAGCAGTCAGACTAGAAGCTCTGTAAGATCATCTGATGAGCTGAGATTCATCCTCTGGGGACCATGAAGGTCCACAGAATGCTTCATGGGAACCCTTTTGTTTGTTTCTGAGCATTTGTTGACAGTAAATGGTGTTAAATCATAAATTAAGAGGTCACTCCGGTTACAACGGGCAGATTAAATCACTGTCCTGTCGCTCCACAGCAAAGGTCAAAGCAAACACCTCCATCTTCTCAGGGCTATGAGCATCCATAGAACTCCATCACCTTTTTCATAAGCCCTGCCATCGAGCCGAGGAGAAACGTTGACCATACGTTGATGTTGACGTCTCTTTGTCCCTCCCAGTCGCTGCCCTGCACCTGTGGTATCTCCCAGACACGAACCATGGCCATGCTGGACGGCACCTACAGCGAGGCCGACACCAACAGCCTGGCTGGCTACACCGAAGAGCCCATGGTGCCTGAAGAAGAGCACGAAGACATGCACGAGGTGCCAGAGAAGCCTGAGCACATGGTGGTCCACCTGTCGGTGAGCAGCGAGTCCACCACCACCAAGAAGAAGAAGAGCCTGCGTGCCCTCAACATCATCCAGAACACGCACGCCATCGACAAGTACTCCCGAATGATCTTCCCTGGTTCCTACATCTTCTTCAACCTCATCTACTGGTCAGTGTACTGCTGAGCAACACTCGGGTCAGAACCGAGGCCAGAAGGATGAACACACAGCTGATACGAGTTCTGGTTCAGAGGTGTGGAGTCAGAGTGCTGCTGGACTGTACGTCTGCTGGCAGCTCCTTACATCGAAGGCCACGGACAGAAACACGACCTAACGAGACCACGAGTCCTACAAAGTTCTGCTCTGCAGCCTTTGGACTGACTGAAACACAACGCTCTGATTGTTCCCCTCATGCAGCAGTTTGAATGTATATAAAAGCTATGAATGAAAACACACTAAACACAACCATGAATGGTGTTTTTAAACCACTAATGCTCGATCATCTGGGCTTCTTCAGCTTGTTAGGTTCTGTTGGAAAGTTCTTTGTTCTCGTCCTGCTCTTCCTGGTCTGATGAGTGTGAACATCATTAAAGTATTGACAGATATGGATCAGGCACTCCATCGATGTGATCAGGAGTCTGTATTTATTCATTTGAAATGAAGCTCAGAGTCACGGTGAACATCACACTTTCTGGCTCCAGGTTAACGTAAAAACAGCGATGATGACTTAGTATTTTTATATTTCCATTTTATGTAGATAGCGCCAAAGAATAAGTCATCTCAGGGCATTTTACATGTAAAGAGAACCAGCGACTGCCCATCATCAGCACCTGGCCACCATGGATAGGAAGAGCTGCCCTTCAGCAGGTCCTCTGGCCCGTCCAGGCTCAGGGAGGCGACCGTCTGGTTGGAGTGAGAGCAGAGAGAACAGATGAAACAGCAGGTGATGAACACCGAGCCGGTCGGTAGGAACAGAAACCACGGACCAGAACCATGAAGCTCTGGTACAAGCGAGATTCTGATCTGAAAGGTTTCGAGGTTCTGGTTCAGCCAGCAGCTCCCTGTTGTTGAACCGACACACTTAGCTTATTTTTCAAGCCAACAAAATAATAAAATGTCATATTGAGGATGACTAGGAGCCGCGTGAGCAGCACAGTGAGGTTGTACTTTAACAACACGTTTGTCTGAACATGCTGGTGGTGGACGGTACCGTCCAACACGGTTCCTATCTGACCTCAGCTTGCAAACATCTGATTAAACATAAAACACAGCTGAAGTTGATTCAAATGTCAAGTCGTGGAAACATGTCAGCTTCTCCCTGATGATGGCAGCAGACAAAACTCATCTCACATCAGTGTCTGCACTCGATCCAATAGCTGCTGATATTTTACTCAACTGATCTGCTGGTGACAACAAACGCAGTTAATGTGGGAACCTGAGGATCTGGGCATAGATAGATAGATAGATAGATAGATAGATAGATAGATAGATAGATAGATAGATAGATAGATAGATAGATAGGTAGGTAGGTAGGTAGGTAGGTAGGTAGGTAGGTAGGTAGATGCCCAGCTCAGTAACAGCTCATGTGCCGCTGCTGAAGATGAGGGATCGACCAGCTGATGTTGTTCAAAGAGCAACAGGAAACTCTCAAAGGATTGAAAACCAGAGAAATCTAAAACCTGTGTTTGTTTCCTGCATTAATGTGCAGACTGCATTCGTCACTGATGTGATGTTGGTTTCCTGCAGCCAAAGGGAAGCTGGACTGACACTAAAGCTTCATGTATTCACCCATGACTCGTGTGCTGAGTGTGTTTCCACTGCAGCTTATTTCTGCTGATAAATCAAACATAAGAACTTTTCTGGGGAAGTACTTTAACATTTTTATCACCATGTCCGTTACTCAGTGGTTTATGATGTGCAAATGTGAACAATATGTGGATGGAAGAACATTTCTGGGAGTTTTTTCCTCCATGATCCACTCACCTGGCAGAATGTAGAATCTGAACTCTGTAGAAATCCACATGCCTCATGACGTGTGAGCTGAACTTCTCATTGTGTGAAAAACATGCTTTCTGACTTAACGGTGCTGTTTTTGTTTTTTATTTTATTCCATTTCCGTGTACATACATGCTCCTATGTACACAGATCTCTCTTTTTTAACTGCACTGTGTTTATTGATCCAAGCTTTGATTGTAATTAATTGTTTCATCAGTTTAGACTCATTAAATGACCTGCTTACCTTCTGAACGCGATCTGAGCATCTCTGGCTCCGTTTTATTGCTTCAGTCTACGTGATGACAAACACATGGACATGGTTGCTCTGTGTGTGTGAATCTGAAGAACTGTGTAAACGTTAAAGACTCAGTGTTTGGTCTCCTCCAGCTTTAGTTGTTGATTTTTTTAGGACTTGGATGGGTTCCCTGGCCATCACTATCTGTTAGTATAGCTGCAGGTAAAAACCCAACAGATACACCAATATTCTAATTTACATTTAATTAATTTTGTCATAATTCTTTGACAGCACTTCCATGGGCAGGACTCCCTGTACCCTAAACTCTCCATATAACAACAGGAATTATATATATATATACACTTCTCGTGTGTTTTATTTCTTATTCATTATTATTGTTGGGTGTGGAACAGGTGCACACTTCACACCAGGTATGACTGTGACCAATGAAACGCCTTGAACCGTGGGAGCTGTAGTTTCCCAGCAGCGCCTGAAGGCAGCATGACTGGCTGCGCGTGCCGCCTGGGCCTGGGCTCCACTTCCTGCTGCACGAACTTTGCTGAACACAACCCAGCGGGAGCTCCGTCCAGAACCAGCCCTCAGCGGATGACCACAGAGCCGTGAGTGTTTCCCCGTCCTGTAGCCGTGAAGCGAGCCTGAGTTCGGTTAGCTCACTGATACCAGGATCAGCTCCGGTCCAGATCCCTGCAGCGGCTCCACGCGCTGACACGAGCCGCTGACGCGTCGCTCCGCTGTCGGTTAGCAGAGACGGACCGTGAAGCAGCGCAGCACCGACGGATTAGCATAGCATGGAGGACGCGGAAGTTGTGTGTAAACACGTCTTTACGTGAAGGTCGAGCCCAGCACTCAGCGTGACACCGGAACCGGAGGGAGTCCTGCTAGCATCGGTGGCGCGTGAATATGATAAAAGTTTGAGAGTTTACTGCACGAGCTTTCAAACCGAGGGGGGCGGGGCGTGACGTCACTGCTAACAGACAGCAGCAGACGTTAGACCGCAGAGTCCTCACCTGTTACAGGTGAGCTGCTGCTCAGAGCTGTGATTTATATAAAACCCTGCAGCAGACAGTCAGGCCGGTGGTGTAGCAGCAGAGCAGGAAGCTGTGTCACTCTGAGCTCTCATTAACTCACTTCTTCTCCTCATTTCATCTGTTCTAGAGCTTCCTGCTTCATTTGTGTGCTTTTATCAGTTATCCTGTGTACTCAATTTACTGGAAAGCACTTTGTAACGTTTGTTTTGAAAAGTGCTCTATAAATAAAGTTTATTATTATTATTATTATTATTAATCAGCTGCTGGTGAGGTCACCTCAACACATTTGCATATTTTTAAAACTTGGTGATCAGTGTGCATAAAGCTAAACAACAGGAGTGAGTACGTCACTGTAATATCTCACTAAATGTAAAATCACATCAGCTCTCACTGATTAGATTTCCTCGTCCATGCAGCCACATCACAGCCACCGGTCTGCTCAGCTTTCTGTTTCAGGGCCTGAACAGCCTCGTCATCCTGATGTGTTTGGTTCTGATTAAGGAAAACGTCCGACTTTTTAACTTAGAAATGATGCAAACACTGAAAGCTGATGCAGTCTGAAATCACACTTAAATGTTGTGATGTTTGAGTGATTGTGCACAGGCTTGTGCTCGTGTATGTTGTGTTCTGTATATAAGGAGAAAAACCACAGATTCGAGCGACACGGTCACAAGATTGTAGCTTGTTTACTAGCAGCTACATGTAGTTGTAAATGTAGTCCTGTTTCATAACATAAAGAGCTGTGATGAGGGAATAAGCAGCCGTTAACTTCCACTGAGGACAAGGAGTTCTGACTGCACAGCTTCAAGTACGCAGATGTTGGTAGAAGGAATGTTGTGGGGAAAGTGAGTCATGGAGGAAAACGGCTGTCTGCATTTCATTTCTCTCAGAACGAGGGTGGTGCCTCTGTGCTGCTGCAGGGCAGGACCGTCCCTCTCTTACGCTTTATTTCAGACTGCTGACTGCCTCTATCAGTGGGCTTATTGTAGGGGTTTCTTTCTTTAGGGCACAGCCAGTTTCAGCACAGTAAAGGAAAAATGTGAATCTCTGAGAACATGTCGGGCAGACGGGGATGATAGGAACACTTTCTGTTTGAGCAAATGTGACTCAGTGGTTCTTTGTGCTGGAGGCCTCACATTGTGACATGTGGTGCCC